TCAAATTTATTCCGTTGCAAAATAAGTGATTTCAGATCTCTCAGAGTGCCACAGTTCTGAAACAACTCATCTGTCAGGGCATTGTGAGAAAAATTTAAATGCTGAAATGGGCTTGTTCTATTGGGGCAAAGCATGTGTGGCATATATGCATCATATATTGTCAAACTGGCAATATTCATCTCTGAGAACTGTCTGTAAAGAATCTCCTGGTTGAAATAATAAAGCTTATTCCGAACATGCTCCAAAGTTAACTCTTTCATGGAGCCATCCAAAGAGATTAATTGTTCCAGAGAACTTAATATGGGTAGAAATTCATATTCAGTCAGGTCCCCTAGTGGACCCCGAAAAGTCAAATTTCTCACAGTCAAATGCTCCACGGGTGAATACCAAAGAAGCAGGAAAATTTGCAGAATGATAGTCCATGGTAAGTCCACAGTGTCAAGCATGAGAGATGTTGTCTGGATTTTCTCCAGAAGCAATAAAGAAGGAGAGGGGAAATGTTTATAGCTCAAGGTATATCTTATGTTAACTATTTTTAAGTTTTCTGAAGTGCTCATTCCATCGTACAAGAGAGGAAAACTGAAGTTTTGGTTTGCTGTAAAAACAATGTGGAGGCTCCTTGTGTTCAAGTCTGTCAGACTCTGAGGCTCATACAGAGAAAAGTTTGCTAAGGTCAGGAAGACAGTGTGCAGCTGCAAATGTTTGATAGAACTGAAGTCTGACCTTCGTATCATCATGGCACTTAATCCTAGGTACTCCAAAAGAAGCATGTTCCCAAATTCCTGACAGATGGGCAAGGCAGTAAACTTATTGAAAGAAAGATCTAAATGTCTAAGATATGCAAGTGTTTGACAGCAAATTTTAAATATGTTATTATGAGATAAATCTAAGTATTCTAAGTATTTATTAAAAATGAAGACACTAAAGTCAAGCACTGTAATTAGATTATGAGAAAGATTTAATAGCTGAAGGTCAGAAAGAGAAATAAACTCTGAGATACTAAGCTCAGAGATCCTGTTATATGATAAATCTAATATCTGAGTATGGACCGGAATATTTTTTGGAATATTAGTTAGCAAACTGTTTGAATAATTTGCAATAAATTCATTTTCCACAGTTGGCTGAGCATTATTCCATAGCATGAATATAAAGGCACAAGCAAAGACATAGATATTTGTGAGGGGTCTCATTATGCTATCCAGCTTTATCTTGATTTTTTACAGAAACTGAAACACGTCTCTTTTTTTTTCTGTTCAATATGTGTCACTGATGAGTCCAGCCCTATGAAAAGAAAACACATGGAATTTGATGAAATTTTTGAACGGCTGAATTTTCTTTTCATTGTTAAAATAAAATTCAATATAAAATCTATGTAATAAAAATATTTTTACGTACCCTTGCTCTAAGTTCTTATCAATCATCCTCAGCTCCATGGAAAAACCATGACCTGGGCATTATTTTGTTGTTGTCAAGCAATAAACAAAACATACAGATAACCTGAAGCACAATCATAAACTGTTGCAGAAGACAAATATTTCCTATTTTATTTTCTGCTCTGATTTTGTCTGTTAAAAAAAAAACAAACCAAAAATAAGGTTTTAAAATTCTGTCCCTGTGTAATATTTTGTTAAATGAAAACCAAAAGCCTGTTTTTCCAGTACTAGGTTATGATGTGTGTTAGTCCCTAATAATTTGATTAACTGATATCAAAACTCAACCCTTCCCCTCCAGGTCTCCTACCAGGCTTAATCAAGTTTTCTTTTAATTAAGTAAAGCAAAAATATGTGCAATTAACATCAGCAAAACCAATAAAAGAATAAATCAGTAAAGTAAAATTTCTGTCTCAATAGAAGCCAACTGAGAGGTCAAATTCTGCCTTCAGAAAGTTGTGCTAGGGTATCTGAGGACATAATAGAAATGAAGCTGGAACAGTTGGTCAAAATGCATTATCACTCACAAGAGGAAACAAGACAAGTAAATCTGACCCATCTTCCTTCAAAGAGCAGCTGACCCTGCACTCCAGAGTCCAGGCTGCTAAACAATCTTACTCTGGAATTAAATAAACTTTGGTCTGGAACTATCTGGAGGAACTTTCCCCTGGGCAAAACAGATGTCAGGAATAAAGCAAGAAATGTTCTGAAGACAAAAAACACAAAGATATTCTTTGTGCTTCGCTGCCAGATGAGTTTTGATTTACTGTGCATGCTATGCTGGACACTGGGACAAGGGACAAGCCACACTATATAGCACTGAAGAGTGGCACAGTCAAAGTGGAAAGCAAATATGACTAGCAGAGGATCAATGGTTACCTCTCCAATGCTGTTTTATAATGGTATTAAAATTGGCAGAGAATTAAAATTGCCATACCAAATGATTTCCCTCTCCCTTTCTCCTTTGCTGCAATTCAACATACTGATGAGCATTTTCACTGACATGTCAAAATGCAAGAATATCTTCTATCAGTGAAGAAACATCAGCACCCAAGATTTGATGGAGTCCAAAACACATGTAACAAGGAGAAAAAATATAAATAATGAAGCAAATGTAACTCACCTTTTCTGCATGGAATTCACCTCTGAATGAAGTACCAGCAAAAGTCCTCTGTGTTCTTGGTTAATGTCCTCAAACCAGAATTTCAAACATATGGAATCTTCAAGCTGGGGAATCTCATATGAGATTCTAATTCCTTAATAATGAATACCTCAGGAAGGAGAAAGAACAGGTTTTTTTTAAAAAAAAGGCTCTAAAATTCTAAGAATTAATTAAACTTCCCTACAATATAGGTATTAAGAGCACAATGAAAGGAAACTTTTAACTTAAACTTCTAGTTTTAACAGTTCAGACTAAAAATACATTTACTTCTCTAATATTTACATAACTGTACTGTTTAAGAGGAAACAAACCTACTTGCAGTACAGAATATTCCCCGTGCAAGGTAAATTTCTAAGTGCAAGTCTGCTGTCGGTGCTACGCAGATGTTCTAGAAATCTGTCAGCTGTATCTCCTCTTTGCACACACAGAAAAGAGGAAGCAGAACCCTCACCACCAGCTTTTGTTCATATCAAAATCTCTCACAAAGCTCTACCTTGCCCAATTATTTTGCTCAGCGAGCAGACTAATTAATGTAGCGCATTGACAGATGGCAAAAGTTTAGACCTCAAAAGCTAGGGGCAAACTGGCACAGTCAAAACCTTCATGGGTCAATCATCTTTATACTAGAGATGCCTTGGATGGTTATCAAGGATATGCTACATTGCAGTTCCCTTCAAAAAAATCATAAAAACATTAATTACAGAGAATATTCCCTATGATAAGAAAGCTGTAATGAAGTCACAAAGAGTACAGCAATACAGGGCAATCTGGGGATGAAGGAATGCAATAAAGCAGCTGTTCAGTTAGCATTTTGAACAGGGGCATAAGCCTGGAGAGCAAAACAACAGAGCAGAGTGAGAATATCGCAAAGGCAGAGGTAAATATCTGTCCTGGTTTTGGCTGGGATAATTTTCTTCCTAATGGCTGAATTTTGCATTCAGCATGAGAACAGTGTTGAAAACACACTGACATTTTAGTTGTTGCTGGGCAGTGTTTACTCTAAGCCAAGGACTTACCAGTTTCCCATGCTCTGCCAGTGAGGAGGTGCACGAGAAGCAGGAGGAAGCATGGACAGGACAGCTGAGCCCAACTGGCCAAAGGGACAGGCCATACCATAGAGCATCAGGCTCAGTACATAAATTGTGGGTGGTTGGGGAACTGCCAATCTTTGCTCGGGGTGAGACAGGTCAGTGAGTGATGAGGAAATGTATTGTGTGTCACTCTTGCATTTTACTCCTTTCTCACTCTCATTTGCGTCAGCATCATCGTTATTATTATTACTATATTTTACTTTGCTGCAATTTTGAAACTGCTCTTAGCTCAACCCACAAGTTTAACCCTGTTTTCTGAGTCTCCTCCCTACAGGGGTGGCAGAGGGCAGGGGAGTGAGGGGGCAGCTCTGTGATACCTAATTGTGGGCTGGGGTTAAACCATGACAAGAACCAAAACCAACACCTCACTCCTACAAGCCTCCAAAGTAATACCACAGCTAAAGGCTGAGCTAAAGAAGCTGAGAAGCATTGTCCTTGATGTCTCTAAGCCTATTTTTCTTTGTTATTAATAGGCAAAAGGATCAAAGCTGTGGAAATCAAAGAGGCAATACCATACAGAGCGACCATATAGAACACACAACTTTCTCACTCAATGATTTATCAATATTGCTTCCTCTTGACCACACAGTGACTACAAACGACCATTATAGTCAATTTCAGTAAATGTTTCTGAAAGAGAAACCAGACAAACCAAAGCCCCGAGTGAAAATACAGGTTTCACAGAGGGTTTGAACCTTCCCCTCAGCAGAATGCCTCGTTTCCCACCAAGTGCCATTATTTTCCTCTGAGTGCCTTTCCTTGCTCTGACACTCTGCAGCTGAACTTTGGTGTTGATGCTTTGCAGCATTTCTAAAGCTAAAGAAGAGCTGGGCTCTCAGCAGAGCAATGCACGTTGTGTCATGACTCTGTCGCAGTTCAGTTTCCTTTATACTACACACTACTTAGATATACACAAAAACAATTACACTTTAACTTCATTCTGCACATTTTCTAGGCTTTGGAGGGTGTTTAACACCCTATGTTATCAGTTTTGTATGTTGATATTTTGAATGTATGTAAAAATAGCATTCC